GGGGGGGAGGCACAATGAAGACTCGATGTGGACCAGTAAACGAGGCCAATTTCTTCTATAATGTGTAGGGCACGGGGATGGAAAATTTGTGCTTTTTATTTTTCTTCGTCTTTTTGCTTTTTGTTGAGAGAGAGAAAGGGGTATCACTAAAGCTAAGTGGCAGGTAATCCCCTTACTCTCCTCCTCCTCCCGATCCCCCACTGTACTAAATTATATGGCATATCAAAAGTACTGACATGAAAAAACATGTACCAAAATATATTTCGTATTTGTTCTTTTTTAACTGACATTTAACAATAACTTAAATTAAAGGAAAATGGTACTCAATTTAGAAGTCACTGTGGATACCTTAATAAGCTTTAAAAATATTAAATTATGAAAATTGTACAGAACTATAAGAGCCATACCGAGCACTTCCTGATAGTCATACAGTACGCCCCAAACACATTGGAATCCTTACACTGCTGGTGTGGCAGACATTGTTTCAGCTGAAAATATTCAAAAGTCATCATAATTTTACAATTACTACGCTAGCACTGTTAATCAACTTGCGTTCAAACAAGAAATGGAAAAGATTCGATTTGCGTGACTGGATGAGCTGGATGAACTTATAACAGTTTTTTGACACAAGTTGAAACGAATTCAGCGACTTCGGTTTAGGTTTCAGCGTCTCTTTTTTCCTCATGTCTCTACAGAGTCACCTTTTACAAGTCACACTCAAACACAGTTTTCCTTCTTCAAATTTCTTTTTCTGCAATCAACCAAGTAGGAATGAAATGCGTTGATCTATTGCTAAAACAGTGGTGTAGACTAGAAAGAAACGACCCCAGATATATATGTGGTTTACAGCCTTAGCTTCTACAGGTCAGCCATTTCACCCAGCCGCTTATCTTACATGTGCAGTCGCCACAATGAACATGCCCGTATTAAAACAACTCTTCTCGACCCAAACCTACTCTCTGCCAGATGATTTTGTACACGTAGCTGTTGCAAAATTGGAGAAAGACTTTTTCATCCAATTATGTAACAGCTAGAAAAAATAATACTGTTCAAACCGAAGGTTTTTTTGACGGCACAGAATAGCGTAAGGAGTCAGACATGAAATTATGTATACACATGCGCATCTGTCTCTTTGCAAATTAAACCATTATCCGCTTTTTTTCTTTATAAAGGAAACTCTTTTACCGCTAGCTACTAGCAAGAATTATGATAATAGTAATAATATAACAGTCTATTTATTACTTAAGGATAGGCCCTTACTTGGCACGTGTCGTAACAACGTCTGTACAGCTTGGTGCAGGATTGTCCCGGCCGGCAATGACGCTGTAAAATATGTGTTCAAGAAAATGGCTGGTAATTAATGGCAACTAATATCATAAATATACTGTATGTACAGTTGTGTTGCTTTAGGGCTATTCCCATTGAAACTATCGGTCTACGTAGATAGTTTCAATGGCAATGGGCCCTTACATAGCTAAACATCATTGGCTGATCCAACGGACGCCACAGCTGCCCTGAGCTTCGAAAGTACCCTCTTCTTCGATCCTCCATAAAGTAAATTGTATATTTGACGAGCAAAACGACACAAAATCTAATTTCTTTTATTCCTTTGCTTTATACATTTCACTGCTAAAAAATTTTTGTCCCAATTCACCACCCAACTCTTCTATAATATAAAGAACGATGGACAAGTGCCCATTCAAATACTGTTTGTATTAACGGACCAGTGGACTTTATTGTGAGAAGGTATAAAATGAAAAAATTATTTTGAAGACATTTTAAAATGTTCTAACCTGCCCATAGTGGAGATTTTTAAAGGTCTACTAAATGTCAAATGTTAATGAATAAGTAATTTAGTTGAATATTATTAATATTGCTAGGTCCAGTACTTACGCATCGGTCACGCTGGGCCTGTAAGAGAAAAAATACTTAATTAGGACTAGTAATATGTTATGTAATTGAAAATATTTTGATCGTCATGGCTTAATCCCCTTTTTCCTGAGATATCTATAAACAATGACTTGAGAGAGAGAGAGAGAGAGAGAGAGAGAGAGAGAGAGAGAGAGAGGGGGAGGCAGGGAGGGAGAGAGAGATGAACAGAGAGAAAAAAAACATCAGTCTTACCTCTCCAGCGCTCAGCAGTGATATCACTAAAACCAAGGTCAACCCAACATATGCTACCATGTTCGCAACTTTTCGTGTCGTGGTCCCCAAAAATTCAGTTATACGCTCTGGATGCTGCTTATAACTTAAATGCACACTTTAACTCCGTCCTAGATTTATAAGTGCAAAAATAAGTTCGTTCAACTCGCTTGTAATCAACCGTGTCCGGGACAAACAGGATCTCGTTTCAGGATATCCGGAAGGGAGTGTATTAGCTGCGGGTCGTACAGCATTATTAATCATCCCACACTATAGGTGCTTCTGTCCGTATTTGATAAACAGTTTGTGGCTGGCATGTCTGTCAGATGGTCAGTTTGAGTGGATATTTTGTTAACCAGCGTGACTTTCCTATCGTCGCTCCTGGGGTTGGTCTAACAGTATATGCGATATATTAATAGTAGTCGGTGGGCGTTCAGACTGTCATTTTTCGGTGCCTAGATGCATACTTTATATGTATGAAATGCTCCAAAGCCATACATTTTATGGATAGATATCATGTAGAGTTTCTTATCTTACCCAGTTCAGACGTTGAAAACGCTCATACTCTTCAAATAAAAATACCTGATGTTGATATTTCTTTCTGAAATACCAGGAAGATGTATATCGGCCTTAATGAATCATGATTCGTTTAAAACTAAGTTAATTAATTAGACTGTAGTACGTGTATTAACCATCGAATCTGAGTGCAGGAACAGGTAGAACATAGAAACCATAGAGTGAAGTAGTCTAAAGGAGAAAACTGCCCTATTTATATAGATTGGGTGTGAACATCCCGTATAGAAGCCCTTTAATCGTAACATCAATTCCTGATTGAGCGCGTGGTTTTTGAAACTAAGGGTGCGTTCACAATGAAACTATCGTCCTAGGTAGTGCGAACTAACGACACTGGGACTTTTGCTGAATGCAATCAGATAAACAGATTAACACGCCAGGAAGTCTTATCTTCTGCTGTCTGCAAGTTTGTATCTACGCTTTTTATCCTCTTTAGTTAAAACTCCGCTTGTCACTCTGCCAAGCAATTTATTACAAACCCTTTGTTAATTTCGTTTCTGATGTAAGCTTTACAGCACCCGTATTCTCCCAAATTATTAAAAGTCAAAGTTTAATTGGTTGCATTAGTACATTAGATTGATTACATGATTTTAGGAAGTTTCCTGACAATCATGATATCGTCATTTCCTAAATTGAAAATGATAATAACGAGGACGTGATAATGACAATACACCATGAGTTTCAAAGGATACTGGAAACTCACCCCTCTACTATTATGCGAGTCCCATTTGGTGGAGGGGGGGGGGGGATTACCGTTGACTGGAAATAAAATCATCAGTTCACAAATAACAGTAAATAAAACTTAATTCATATCTCATTTAAAATACGTGTCGAAAATCCTGGATCACCGAGTATAATGACATTTAGGCTCTATTCCCATAGATTTTAGATCGATCTATCCCCGCGGGGAGTCTCACTAGATTACTTTCAGATAATCCGACTTAAATGTCCGTCCCGCCTACTATAAGCTGTAAGGAGGTAATTAACTTTCGTGTCCGCCCGGCTGACAGCTATTTAGCGTGAACCCCCAGGGAGTTAGGTCGATCTAAAGTAGGTCGATCTAATCTATGGAAATGGGGTGTAAGTTTCACGAAGGGCAAAGACTAAAAAGCCGCATTCGCGAGTCCCGGGGATGGGATGCTTCACGGATCACGCTAATTAATATGGAAGTTTCACGCATCTCGGGAAATAAAAAAAATTGCATTCGCGGTTAACAAAAATACCCCAAAATGACCCTCTATCAACATATCTCTGCCCTTTACAGTACGCAGCTTTTCAGTTTTGTCCTCTAAAACTCAGGGTGTTAAGATGCGATAACAGAGATTTATATAATTTCCTTTGAAATTGTGCATATATGAAATTATGGTGAAATGGGTTTTACGTGCGTAATGATGATAGGAAAATTAATCCTTTTTAAAGAGAAAAAACTGTTTTACCTATCATGAATGATAGAACTCACATCGAAAAAAAATGTGAATAAAGCCCTTGGAAGAATACTCGTAACACTTTACATGTATACCGCATCGGTAGAAAACATGTTAAGTCTCTATAGAAATTGTAAATACAATTGAGGGTCATATCCCCACCCCACCCCACCCCACCCCCCTCTCTCTCTCTCTCTCTCTGTGTGTGTGTGTGTTTGTGTGTGTGAGTGTGTGTGTGATCTCAATCTCATTTAGGAACTTAATGAGTCGGCGATCAGCAAGATGCCTGGAATAACAAGAACCTACAAAATACACCAATTCCTTTTATCTTTATGTTATGAAAATATGAAAATTGTTATTTTAATAATATAAAAATTAGCCAATCTAAACGCACTATCTACAGTATATATGGTACTACCTTATTACGAATATAAGGTTTTATATGCAATTGCAATAGAAGTAATGACAAAGCTAAAAATGGGCATACTTAAAGCACATAAAATAACCCTGTTAATGTGTTACTGGGCATTTTAAACGTCCCCTCTTTTTAATAATTTCTCTTTTCTCTTGAAAGTTTGACCTAGGATTCGACTCTTGAATTCTAGGTTTGACGGAAAAATGGCACGTCATGATATCAATATCCGATCATTCCAGGCCTCAAACAGGATTGTGAAACCCCCACGTTCATTCTGTTTTCCAGCACATTACCTCATATATAATCGTACTTACGCATAGAACGTAATGCGTTTTGATACTCTGCTCTTACCGTTAAACGTCAATTGCATCATGAATTCCACAAACCTTTGACGGATTTTTTTTTCAAACAACACGTCTAAAATGACTTCACTTTGCCGACGACAATAGTTCAGGTACAAGTAGGAGAGCTGAACATTGTTACACTACGTATAAACTACACGAAATACGTAAAGAATTTTGGAGCATTCATTATTTTGTCGGCCGAAATCCAGGGAGATATAGGGGCCTAGGCCTAGTAGTAAACGGTTGCAACCGCAACACATTTTGCAACCAGTTTTTTTTTTCTAAATCATTGAATTAAAATTGTTGAAATTCTCAGAAAAAAATGACAATTTTGTGATGTAAATGTTTTACAAGGATTGTTTAACCCAACAGGTCTCGGGTCTAAAATTTAACCGTTATAAGTGAGCGACCACACACCTGAATGCGTCGGAGCATTCGTACTGTCTCAACTAACACAATCATTGGCATCGTTCTCCCGTCCTGTTCTTACTTTGTTCGACTGTGCGGATCTGCTTTGTAGGTAAATCACAGAAACTATAAATGAGAATTTCGCTTGAAAATCAACCTAAAGTGATGTCTATTTAACTTCTTACACACAAGTTTAACTTGATAGATCAATGCTTAAAGACAGGTAACACTGCAGACGCGTAAAAGCAATTTTTAAAGAGGTGGGGACGTGACCCTTAAAAAAACAGCAGCGGGGTATTCTCCACGGCCTCCTGCTTCCTGTGTTGAAGACTGATGTAGTTGAAAAGTTTCAACTTTTTAAATCTAATTGTTTAAATTGTGTAAATTTAATTTTTTTAATCATTAAAATGTCTAAGATATGTATATACGTAGCCTATATTTAGCTACCCAGGACTCTCTATGGAACAGCGATATTTATATGTACTGCAGCAAACCATACATGGCACTTTGTTAGTGTTATAGTAACATCAAATGTCTGAGAAAAAAACCTTCTAGGATACGGCCCAACTCCGAGCTTCACTTTCGATGAGTGCCAGACTTTTCGTTTTCAAACTCTACTCTCCACGCGTACACGTTATAAAAATGGTAGTCCTTAAAATGAAAGTCCAACGCTCCACACGATTAGTTGTGTTAAGGGTTTGTGGAAAATATTGGGGTCAGTACATGGGGCGAATGGCACCTATTATATGCAGAGCGATGGGACATGGACTACGGTTCTTAACGTACTACATGCACCATCCTGTAACACGGTCTAATGTGTAAAAATTGGGAAATGGTAACGGCAGGTGCTTATTGATGGTAGAGAAGTGAGTTTCCAGGCACCTCTGTAACACGGTGCATATCTTCACAGAAGCTGTTTAATTATTTTTTTTATCCATGTTCAAACTTTGGAGATTCTATGCTTTCTCTACGAGCGCTCCAGATGCCCAGATGCGTGCCTTGCTCCTTTTTTCATTCTTCTCAGTGAATCCAATTAGATAAAGTCTATCTGTCAAAAAGATAATTATTGGGTGGAAAATAGGCGCAATGGAGTAATAGTTTTGTTCCTAGAGCAATCATCAATACAAGGTAATTGTGTTTGATAAAAATCGTATTAATCCCCTCCACCTCCCTTTTAAGTCTATTAATCTTTGCCAATTGGGAGCTGGGATCACCATTAAGACCAACAATGACACACAATTTATGGCTTTAATGAAAAATGAGTATATTATCATTCACGAGAGACGAGGGTGTAATATTATCTAATGCGTTTTCTTTGGACTAACAGCGTTAAATAGAGTCGCTCTATTAAAAAGACATTAAGGGGAAACGGTCGTAGAAAGAAATAGTCCGGTGGAACGGCAGTTTTGAAATGGGAAGGGGGCGTAGTGGGGGGGGGGGTAGAAAGGCTTCACGGACAAAACTTGGGTCTAACATCCAGTTTTGATCTGATTTCCTAGCTCTAATGGTTAGGATGATGGATATGGCTTTAACTTACGATATTCTGCGAATTGGCTTCGATCCGTTCACCATTAAGGTTTTATTTGTTTAATTCTCAGTGGGAAATGGTAATGGTTAGGAAATGGCATGTGGATTATTTTTGATACGTTTTTCGATTTTCTTTTTTTTTTTTTTTTTTTTTTTAGGTTCTCGTTGGTCCCAATAATATTCCTCGCCTTTTTACAAAAGTTTGATTCATATTTTATACCATTATACTTTTTTCAATATTTTAGATTTAATTTCAATTTCAAATGAGATGTTTACCTTACGTCATCTTTGTCGAAATAAATTGCTAAAATACAATAATTTTAAAAGGAAACAAGATTTTTTTTTCAATGGAAAGCAAATTGATTAATGATTAATTTTCAAATACACTATTTAAGTAAGTTGGACCAAAATCAGTTGACCTCGATATTGTCTGCTCTGCAATATAGACCACATAGTTGTATTAATGTAGAAAATACGACTCTTTTAGCAATGCCTACCACTGCATGAAAAATCAGCTTTTATATATCGTGAAAGGTGATCAAAAGGCCTTCTTTTATTCATCTTCTCACATCTTTCCAAGACCTTTCGTTTTTTTAGGAAAGGTGTAAAAGACGATCTTTTGAATGGCTTTTGTATAAGTGAAAAGGTATACAAATGGCCCACTTTTCTTCACCTTTTCTCTACACAAAAGTTGAACTTTCATACACCTTTTGCTGCAAAAAGACGATCTTTTGCTTGAAGAAAAGGTATTCTCAAGTTCATCATTCATCAGCTTTTTGTATGCTAAAAGGTATATTAATGACCCACTTTTCTCTACCTTTTCCTGCTAAAAAGTCCAACTTTCAGATGCCTTTTGTGCAACTTTCCAGATACAAAAGATAGCCTTTTCAAACCTTTTTATTTAAGAAAAGACTATATTTTTCCTTCTTTTGTTAGGTATTTTACTGTTATATTTATTGCGGCGCTTTAATAATATATTGATAAAACAGAACAACACATGGTATAAACTTTTATAATTTATTCCATTATAACATTTTTGTGCAGGTTGTGCTTGTCTTTTGAAAGTTTTTTGATAATCCAAGAAAGGCCCAGGAAATGTTCTCTAAATGTACTTTCAGCCAGATCCACTAGTCCTACTATATATGCGTAACTTCTCGTTCTCGTGGGAGTAGTTTTTCTGGAAGCGCCTGTCAAGTGAACACTTTGCCTGCCCAAATCTTTCCCTTTTGCCTCCTGGAAAATAGGATGTATGTAATGATAAATATTGTTTTTTGGTAACAGTCCATTTTAATGCTAATCAAATACGATAAAAACAATGCCAACTTTTATTATGTTTAATTTTCAAACTATGGACTTAAAGCCATCAAAAGGCTTAAAACAGATTTTACAAGGTTTAAAAAGGATCCTGTAATAGTACCTCTTCCTTTTTTTTTCCATATTTTTTGTTTAAGCTCATCCAGTCCTTTTGCTTGTTTTAGAACATCCTCCTTCTTTTCAGATCTGTAGTATCTTTTAATGGCACCTGGTAAAGAAATAAAAAGAGTGAATTATTTGAATGTAATATCATGTAAAAAGTTTTCAATTAGGGAAATATGAATAATGAAATAGCTACAAGTAATGAAGAAAATATGCATTCATGATCACTGATAGGCAACTTGATTGGGCCTTGTACAGAACTTAGAAAAGCTCCTGTATTACATACCCCATTCTTCTCTTCCAATTATTTTGCTTTAGTCCATCCACTTTGTTTGCTTTTATATGCTATTCAACCATGTAGAAAGCCTGTCTTTTAATAGCATCTGGAAAAGAAATAAAGAGATTTTAAGACAGTGAATTATTTTAGTGTAATATCATACAAACAGTTTTCATTGATGAAAACATGATTACTGCTCAGGATTCATACAGCAACATAAAAGCAAATTGAAGGATTTCTGAGGCTCTAAATCAAGACCTTTTCAATGACTCTTTTAACGCGCCTTACTGTCATTTTTAGTTTACATAGAAAAGAGTTTCATCATTTTACACAAACTTTGTATTTTAATACACTAATGACGAAACATGAGAAAAAATTGAAAGGTTAAAAAGGGCATTCCCCCAGCATGCTACTGTCTACATTCAGGTTAAAAACAACAAGATTCGTAATAATCATTCAACAAATTTCTAACTGATCAAATTCAAGTACTTTTTAAGACAAAAATAATGAAATACAAGGCCTTGGTAAGGCTAATAGCAAATTCAAGTACTTTAAATGTCATAAACAGACTGAATACACGTACAAGGCTACATTCAAGCAGTCAAAGTGCTGTTTGAACCCTGCGAGTGAACCAGTGCATTGATTATATAACCCTGCCTGGAATTTAGGTCAAAGAATGTAGGTCGACTCAATGGGATTAATACAGGCCAGTTTAATACATGTACAGAATCTTTACTTGTACGCGTGGCCGTACTTTGACGTAAACTTTTTGCAGTATTCTAATAAAAAGGTCAGAAAGTTTGATTAACTATTTTTTTACGATCGTGATAATCTTATTTCGGCACGGTCTGTTCTCCGTGCATAAAAGCCCTCTTGGTCGTCCCTGACACGGATGTTCCCTTAAATATGATTGATTCAAATGTTATATTAGACCTACCTGATGCATTTACACCTTCTCTTCATCCTCATCAGTTATATTATCGCCGCAACAAACGCCATCTTGCAAAGAAGTCGACCATAATCAATACGGAGGCTTAAAAAATCTTCTGTGACCGGCCTACACAGCCTAGCAGTCCCCGCGCATTTTTAACCGCCTGGCCGTGCGCACGCGCAGATAGTCTGTAATGGGATATCTTTCGCGCCGATTCTTTAGCATTGACCTAACGCTATATTTATGGCAAGAAGAACGCACATTTTGCCTCTTGTTTTATTCAAGACTAAAACAGAAAGAGGCAATAATATAGATCACTAGACAGGGGGCAGCCGGTCATCGTTTTACAAGGTAGGTGAAATAGTGATTTCAGTGATGTTCGCACAGTGTATCTTAACACAAATTATAGCCAAAGCATGCTTCTGGGATTAAAGCGGGATTCTTTCTCGAAGCACTGCATATTGCAGGGTAATTTAGCCGTCTCTTGAGGAAGGATCGAATTATACTGAGTTTCATTGGGCTTGGCTTTTGTCTGTTGTCTGTTCTAACGTTTGACCGGTTATACTCACTGTGAACTTTGGAAATATATCTGCACGTCCACGATACGGGGTAAAAACAAGGGGTTATCATTTTAAAAGTGTGTCAAAATATTCCCATGTGTTGGATTACAAGGGGGGGGGGGGGGCTTTGATGCACGACAACCAAATCACAGCTAGCGTGTAGTTTCATTTCCCTATTCAGATTCGGCCCAGGGACTTAAGCATAAAGAGTGGAGATTTCCATTGATGACATAATGACCAGGTCACATGATTATTAAATGAAACTTACGGTTCAGGATCGTAGCATGCTTTCCCATCTCTTTGGAGTTAAGTGAACTCTTTCCGAATTATTTTTATATGTGTTTAATGTTACATTTTGTAAAATTTATGAATTTAAAGCAAAAACACATTGAAATTTCAATGCTTATGTCACAGTGTTGTTACCCAGTATCGTGGATGTGCAGATATGGTAACGCTCAGCTTTAGCAATTGAATTGTTTAGGTACTACTGTATATCATGATATGGCTTCAAATCCTTGAAATTCAAGCATAAACTTCCATGTTTCAATTATTCAATATGTCTTTTCTTTTATAAAGGAATGGGGTGTCCCAAGGATGAAAAAGGAGTGCCTGTCGTCACAAGAAAAGAGATGAACATCTAAAAGAAGGCTGCGTTTCTGTGTTCCTGTTACATGAATTCCCAGTCTGCAGCCACAATAGAATTGTTAACCTACATGTATAATCTCATAGTGTTTACCTCAGACCCCCTCTCTGTCAGATTTATGGACTTAAACATGCTAAAATAGTAAAGGAGAGACTGACTCGCTCTGAGCAAGGAGAATAAGCAAACAGTTATGTATGGTTGATAATTTTCCTCTGATATTTAGATTAACTACAGCAGTGTAAGCAAGATGAATTAGGGATATGCAAACAGTTACAGTCTGTCAATAATATTACCATTTCCAATATAAACAAATTCAAACTGCATAGCTGATTACTACTTATCTAACTTCAGTGAAATATTTCCATCATGCCCAGGGCCTTACTATTAGGGACTATGCATGAGGTAAAACTTGCTCTCTGGAGCCTTAAACACATCATAAGAATTGTAGAGTGGTTTTCTCCTTAGAAACGATCCCCTTGTCAGGCAAACTATGGAGAGGTGACCTCTGGCATATATTGTAATTATTTTTTTTTGACTTGCTACAATCACTGCAAATACTGACATAACTGCAAATAACAAAGTTAGTGACGAGAGATCCTATAACCTTTTTTGTCAAGGAGAGGTGGTTTTCTGTTTAGAAATGATCCTCTAGCCAGGCAAATTATGGGGAGGTGACCTCAAACACTATTTTGACTTGCTACAATTAGTGCAAATACCGACATAACTGCAAATAACAAAGTTAGTGACGAGAGATCCTATAACCTTTTTTGTCAAGGAGAGGTGGTTTTCTGTTTAGAGACAATCCTCTAGCCAGGCAAATTATGGAGAGGTGACCTCAAACACTATTTTGACCTGCTACCATTAGTGCAAATACTGACATAACTGCAAATAACAAAGTTAGTGACGAGAGATCCTATAACCTTTTTTGTCAAGGAGAGGTGGTTTTCTGTTTAGAGACAATCCTCTAGCCAGGCAAATTATGGAGAGGTGACCTCAAGAACTTTTTTGACAGTCAGTGCAAAAATCCTGACATAACTGAGACAGCAACGATAGCTTCTGTCCAGAGTTTTTTTTTTTTTTTTTTTTTTTTTTTTTTGTCATGGCGATGGAGATCATTTCCTGTGAAAGAAATTATCTAGACAAATATGGAGATGTGACCTCTGACATATAAATTTTTGATTTGCTGTATTTAAATCCTGACAATATTGGAATAAAAATATAAGTTACTTTCGATTCTGAAAGTTGTTTGTCGTTCAAAGCGTCAAAATTATATGTCTACCTCAGGTGGAAGGCGGTGAACATTTCTTTCACTGCACTGAATGCTATATATTTGTACATATACTCCAGCCAATCTAAGATTGCGTAATTATTTCTCCAAAATGCAAAGCACCACATTTAATCTATCTGTTGAATACTTTAATCAAAGTCCAAAACATTTCATCATACAAACAATTTGCAAAAGTATTCGCTTTTTCCATACTGCGCTTACTGTAAAATGCGGAATTAAGTCATGTACATAAAATAAAAAGTATATATACAAAAGATCACCACGCGATATTATAAAATCAGTTTTAAGCTTTCGGAAAATAAAAGATAAACAAAATGTGACCTTTCCAGTTAACAAAAACGGAATGCAAGGTGGCCTTTCGCACTGTAAAAGGTAATAGTTGAACTTTTGAAAACTGAAAGTTAATGAAAATGTGAATGATGGTCTTTCCGAGTGATAAAAGTTGATAAAAAGATGACCTTTTACAATTGAAAGGTGAAAGATGACCTTTTCGTCAGGAAAAGATGATCAAAGATGAGGGATCATCTTTCGATAACATTTTGTAGATAAATGAAAGGCGATAAAAGGTGTTTTTTCATGCAGTGTACAATTTGAATCTGCATTATAAATCGGAAATTGTTAATTCTTTCGAATAGACGCTAACAGTGTATTAAAACGGTAATTTAGGTGAAAGCATACAAAAAACACTGATATATTAAATGTTCTGATTGTTCGATGGACCAGTAGATATAAAAGACGAAGAATGAATTCCTTAACAAATTTTATACAAATAAAATGCCAACCTGTTTGAAAATGCCAGATAAAATTGTAATTTCAGTAAGATAATTCACCTTTCGTGTCTATAAAAAAATTAATATGAAGTGTTACCTACAGCTAAATGATAGAAAGACCCCTTTGTTACCTTCGGTCTTCAGCCCTCCGTAATTAGATTGGAATTACGTCGTGGTTATTTGAGTTACGATCAAATCCAAGCGTGGTGATTCTATTAATTAACTTATCACTGTTTACACTGGCCTCATAAAATGTCTGTGAGATTGCATTGTTCCGGTGAATCATTGACTCGTGAGAAGGCTTCGCCATTACGGAAAACTACATTCAAAACGTCGGTTTTGCTTCTCGTAATAAAAATACTATCTCCCAAAATTGGTGGAAACTCTCTTTGAAGAAAATCAAACAAAAAGTCACAACATAAAGATATGTGTTACGATAAATAAGACATACGATGTAATGTGAAAATTAAAGTAAAGTGTAAGGATAAAATGGATAGCAGATTGCTGATGGACCCAAAAATGTGAGCG